CCACAAAACACATGTAGACTGGATGGGCTAATTCCCATGACCCCTCAAAGACCCTAGTGATGGTAAAGAGCTGATCCAGTGTTCCAAGGCCAGGACGGAACCCACATTGTTCCTCCTGGATCTGAGGTTCGACCAACAATCGGACTCACTTCTTCAATACCCCTGAATAAACCTTACCAGGGAGGTTAAGGAGAGTGATGCCCCTATAATTGGAGCACACCCTCCGATCCCCCTTTTTGAAGAGGGAAACCACCACCCCAGTCTGCCAGTCCAGTGGCACTGCCCCTAATGCCAACGCAACGTTGCAAAGACATGTCAGGCAAGACAGCCCCACAACATCCAGAGTCTTAAAGAAATCAGGGTGAATCTCCTCCACTCCCGGAGCCCTGCCGCCTCTGAGCTTTTTAACTACCTCGGTGACCTCAGCCACAGTTATTGACGTATCAACCCAGAAGTCCCCTGACTCAGCTTCCTCCATGGAAGACATGTTGGTGGGATTGAGAAGGTCCGAGAAGTATTCCTTCCACCTCTCTACGACATCACTGGTTGAGGTCAACAGCACCCCACCTTCACTGAACACAGTGTTAGTAAAATGCTGCTTTCCCCTCCTCAGCCGCCTGATGGTTTGCCAGAATCTCCTCGGCGCCGACCAAGAGTCTCTGTCTGTCCTCACCTAACTCCTCCCACATCCGAGCTTTTGCCTCAGCAACACCCAATGCTGCACACCCCTTGGCCCTCCGGTACTCCTCAGCTGCCTCCAGAGTCCCACTGGCCAACAAGGCCCGATAGGACTCCTTCTTCAGCTTGACTGCCTCCCTAACCCAGGGTGTCCACCACCAAGTTTGTGGATGACCACCGCGAGAAGCACCAACAACCTTGCAGCCACAGCTCAAGGCAGCTACCTCAACAAGTGAGGTGCGGAACATGGCCCACTCAGACTCAATGTCCCTCACCTCAGCTGGGATGCATTTAAAGTTCTCCCAGAGGTGTGAATTGAAGATCTCTCTGACGGGTTCTTCTTCCAGACGTTCCCAGCAAACCCTCACTACACATTTGGGTCTATCGGGTCTGTCCGGCATCTTCCCCCGCCATCTGATCCAACTCACTACCAGGTGGTGATCAGTTGACAGCTCAGCTCCTCTCTTTACCCGAGTGTCCAAAACAAACGGCCGCAAATCAGATGACACGACTATGAAGTCAATCATTGATCTATGACCTAAAGCGTCCTGGTGCCAAGTGCACTTATGGACACACTTATGTTCGAACATACTGTTTGGGATGGACAAACTATGACTAGCACAGAAGTCAAACAACAGAACACCGTTTGGGTTCAGATCAGAGAAGCTGTTCCTCCCAATCACGCCCCTCCAGGTCACACTGTCATTACCCACGTGGGCATTGAAGTCCCCCAGCAGAATAAAGGAGTCCCCAGCTGGCGCACCTTCCAACACCCCTGCCAAGGTCTCTAAGAAGGCCGTATACTCTGAACTACAGTTCAGCTCGTAGGTACAAACAACAGTCAGAGCTGTCTCCCCACCCAAAGTGGAAGGGAAGCCACCCTCTCATCTACCGGGGAAAACTCCAACACACAGGCACAAAGTCGGGGGACTACAAGTAGACCCACACCAGCTCGACACCTCTCACCATGGGCAACTCGAGTGGAATAAGGTCCAACCCCTCTCAAGGAGATCAGTTCCAGAGCCCATCTTGTGCGTCGAGGTGAGCCCAACTATATCTAGTTGGTACCTCTCAACCTTGCACACAAGCTCAGGCTCTTTCCCTGCCAGAGAGGTTACATTCCATGTCCTAAGAGCTAGCTTTGGTAAGCCAGGGTCAGAGCGCAAAGGTCCCCGCCTTTGGCCAATGTCCATAGCATCGTGCACCCGACTTTTATGGCCCTTCCTGCAGGTGGTGGGTCTACAGGAAGGCAAACCCATGCTGCTCCTTCGGGCTGAGCCCGACCGAGCCCCATGGGCAGAGACCTGGTCACCAGGCGCTCACCGACGAGCCCCTACCCAGGCCTGGCTCCAGGGTGGGGCCCCGGTAACCCACGTCCGGGCAAGGGACACTTGAGTTCCTTGTTTTTTGTCCATAAAAATCTTCTGAATCGCTCTTTGTCTGGCCTGTCACCTAGGACCAATCTGCCTTGGGAGACCCTACCAGGGGCAATTATAATTGCCCCCAACAGCATAGCTCCTAGGATCATTCAGGCGCACAAACTCCTCCACCATGATCAGGTAGCAATTCAAATTTGATGACAAGGTAAGATATTAAATGAGTCCAGATATTTTTTGATTTTAGAGTTTATCCGTTTTCTAGAACCTTGGCTAAAATGCAGAGTTTAGAGATAGGTAGATAGGTGTTCAATGAGGTGGGATCACCTCCCTTTAGCAAAGGTAGAACAAAGGCTGTTTTCCAAGCGTCTGGAATGGAGTTTTGTCTTATGGAAAGGTTAAAGATGTGGGACACTTGTACCGTGATGATGAGCAGCCAGCCTTAAGATATAAGGTGGAAGTTCATCTAGTCCTGGGGATTTTTTAGGGTCCAGACCTTTTAACAATTTAACTGAGAACGGAGTAAGAGAAAATGTGTGGTTTATCTTGGGCCTCGGTTGCTTCTCCTTCTGCTGTAGGTCTTGGCATAACAGATCTCTTTTTTCGAGTGATGAACATGGTGATGAGGAGCTGCTGGCCCTGCTTCTTTTTCTGAGCCAGCGATGTTTTATAAGGTGACATAGCACCTTCGAGTGCATTTGCAAACTGCAACGAACGTACAATGTTTGGGTCCCATTCTTCAATCACTCGCTGAAAGTCTTTGGCTGTTCTGGCTGCGGCTGCAAGACGATCGAGTATCAGGCCAACCTCCTCCTCCTCTTCAGCAAGTTGTTCTTCTTCTTCCTCCTCCTCTTCAGCAAATTGTTCTTCTTCCTCCTCCTTCTCTTCTTTGCTTCCTGACTTTGTAAGTTCCTCCAGGTCTTCATCTGTCAACGGTTGAGCATGCACGACAATCAGATCATTCACGTCCTCGGTTGTCATGTCACTGAAGGTCTCTCCACCCAGTGTTTTTGTCAGTTTGACAGTATTGTCCACTGCAGAGTGTTGGATTTCAGCAGGAGACAATGATCCTGGATCACTTCTAGTCATTTTTTTCCAGTAGACATTTAAAGTATCGGTCTTTACGTCGTTGATGGACTTCTGAATGTTTTGGAGACATGATGCAATGGTGTAGTTATGCCAGTAGGTTTTTACAGAGAAGTTTTCATCTGAGTCCATAGTTTCCACAAGGCTTTGCAGGGAGTTTCTTGTGTAAAGCTCCTTAAAAGCTTGAATGATTCCTTGATCCATGGGAGATGTTGTGTTCGGGGGCAAGAACTCGACCTGGACCCCCTGATGCTCCAGATCCTTAGCATGGCATCCAGCGTTGTCCATCAGCATCTGCACTTTGAACTTGATGCCTTTCACAGCCAGATAAAGCCTCACCTCCAGGATAAAAGTCGTGGAACCAACTGGTGGTGAGGACTTTCATCATCCAGGCCTTGGGGTTGTGCATCCAGTGAACTGGTAACACTTTTGTTTTTGAAAGCCCTTGAGTTTGTGAACTTATAAATGAGCTCTGGCTTTATCATAAATCCCGCAGCATTCCCACACACGATCAAAGTCAGCCGATCTGTTTGTGCCTTGAAACTAGGCGCTTTGGCTTCATTCTTCATAATAAAAGTGTGAGATGGCATCCTTTTCCAGAACAGACTCGTTTCGTCCACGTTAACTTGTTCAGACCTGTAGACCCCCTGAGTGATCAGATCTTTGAACATCGTGTTAACAAACTCCTCCACTCCTGCTGTGAGAAGACGCAGCCTCTCCATGCAGAGAAACACTTTTAATCAAAATCTGTTTGGAAATTTGTCGAACCGTCCCTTGCTGGCACTGGATGCAATGGTTTGGTGGTTGAACCAGTCAAAGGTCCAGCTTCGGGCATGTCCTCCCTCTCCTCATTTGCATCACCATGTGCTTCCTCCTGCTGCTGCAAGACGATTATCAAGTCGTTTCATGTTTGTCCGGATGGTGTTGGTATCCAAAGTGACGTTTTATTCTGAAATCATCAATCCAGGTGGTCAATGCAGCTTCAACCTTCACAATCATCCAACTGTGAGCAGTAACGACCGTCTTTGCGGCGGTGTGAAAAGTAACAGCTGAAGTCGACCGGATGATATAAAAAAATGTTGAAACAGCACAAACATTGCTGAACGAGTTACGTGATGAAAAACACAGAACTGGATCTCAACGATTTATAAGAATTCACACAATTAAACTAAATGTGTATTTTATCTGAGCATTCGTGGTCGACAAGTACGTACAGTCCTCAGTATACTAAAGAATAACTGTCCTTGTACAGGTTTTTTCTTCTGCACCATCACTTCCCTTTGTGTATTAAAACACATTTCACTAAATATTATACATACCTTTGTAGGTGTGTATGTTGAAGTGAAACATGAAATGTTGCTGATATAAAGTTAGCATATTGCATCAAACATCTTGATGTGCACGTTCAGTATCCTGCTGCTGTCAGTTTAATACATCAACAATAAAATAATTTTTATATTTACAAATGAGGCTTTTATTGTTAAAATCAGATGAAACAGTCTTTAATGTCTGTGTGCTGTACGACTTCTACAAGATCTATGAAATGTAAAATACAAAGTTTATGTTTCTGTGCTTCACAGTAAAAAGATGCAGTGAAGGATCTAACAGGCTCTGAAGTTTGATACGACCTCAACATCCAGTTTTTTTATTGAACAATAGATGTTTTCAATTGTTGGACACTGGACAATCTACTTTTGACTTCCTCATTATTATTGTACACAATTAGAATTAACGAACACTTCAATCATATTTTAAAAAACAAAATGTGTTTAATAATCTTATGTTGTTGAAATCATAGTGTTTTTAAAAGCAACACGTGATGAATTCAAATAATGCTGAGTAATTAGGATTTCTGAGTTTGTATATTTTATGACTGTTTATAAAGACAAGCTGCCTAAATTGCAAATAAAATAAAATTTCAAGTTCCTGTGCCAAGTCCGGTTCAGACACAACTGTTAAAACTCTTAAAAAAACAACACTAATAAAAAAAAAGTGAATTAAAAACTCATTCTTATATAGTCATTAAATAAATGCAACCTTTATAAAATTGTGTATAAAGACAAGTTTTCCGCTGCAGGCTGCCAGTTTCTCCCTTCAGATAAAAACAAAACCTGAACTGGTCAGAATAAACTCATACTGTCCAAGTATAAATTTACAAACTGAGTAAAAAATACTGAACAGTCTGAGACTAGTATCGTTTTTTCTTCCCTCCGTGTCCTCCGTAATCTCCGTGTCGACTGTGTCCTCCTTGGTTCCAGCCTCCTCCTCCACCACTTCGCCCACCTTGACCCCAGCTTCCTCCTCCTCCTCCTCCACCATGACCTCCCCAGCCTCCTCCTCCTCCTCCTCCTCCACCACGACCTCCCCAGCCTCCTCCTCTCCAGCCACCACCACCTCCTCTTCCTCCACCGTCCTGTCTTTTCTGCCAGGGGGGCATCTCAGGAGGCGGGGCTTCAATCTCAGAAGGACGTCCTCCTCTGTCTGGTACTCCTCCCATGAGGATCTGTGGAGACAAAAACAACATTTATGCGAGGAACAGTACAATGAATGCCTTGTATTGACAAAGTATTTACTTGTTTACCTTGTTGACAGCACAGACAGTCTTCTCCCTGCTGGAGCCGCTGCTGGTCTTCATCACGTTACAGATGTCCTCTCTGGCAGCCAGCAGCTCGGCCATGTCCACTGTGGACTTTGGTCTCAGAGAGTGTCGCTTAGGCTGATATGCTCTTGCCATAATGTCCACCTTCACCTGCAAAACAGAAAACAACAATTAGATTATTTCTAATCTTGTTTCGTTTCTTCACCTGAGATATTGAGTGAGATGTAAACACGCCTTGGCTCGGTCTGACCAGCCAAAAGACTGGACGGTGACGTCCAGCCGTTTGATCAGCATCCTGCGGCGACATTCGTACTCTGATGACAGAACTTTGTCGATGTTGTGCAGCTTTTCCTGCAGAGACGAGCAGCGACGTCAGTAAAACGTGCAGCACCAAGACTGGGAAGACTGGAGTGAACTCTACATACCCACTGGTCACTGCTGAGAGGGTTCTTCAACACGGGCTTTCCAACGAAGCCATCAGGAAGATCTTCAAGTAATTTTTCAACCTTTCATGACAGGTTTTAACATTTTAATAAATGAGCAATATATTTCTGAGATTTAATTTTAATTAGACAGGAACAAAAGTTAAAGACACCTCCATCCCTAAAAACAGAAACAGGCAGTCCACAAAAACATGAAATGTTTAATAAGTGACTAAACATCAAATGAATTGTTTGCAAAAATCCAATGAAGACCAAATAAATCATGATCCCCCACATTAAAACGTTACTAGAACCTCCTTCTTCCACATGCGTAATATCACTAAAATTAGAAACATCTTATCTAAAAATGATGCAGAAAAACTGGTCCATGCATTTGTCACGTCTAGACTGGACTGTTGCAATGGTTTATTATCTGGGTGTCCAAATACTTCTTTAAAATGTCTTCAGTTGATCCAAAATGCTGCTGCCAGAGTCTTAACTGGAGTTAATGGGAGAGATCATATCTCTCCAGTTTTAGTTTCTCTCCATTGGCTCCCTGTCAAATCCAGAATAGATTTCAAAATCTTACAAACCTACAAACCTCTCAACAACCTAGCTCCATCTTATATTACAGATCTTATTGTTCCATATTTTCCTAACAGAGCACTTCGCTCTCAGGTTGCAGGTTTACTTGTGGTTCCTAGAATTTACAAAAACAGAATGGGAGGCAGATCTTTCAGTTATCAGGCTCCTCTCTTGTGGAACCAACTTCCAATCTCTGTCCATGAGGCTGACACATTATCCAGTTTTAAAACTAGGCTTAAGATTTTCCTTTGCTGTCCCTTAGTTATGCCGCTATAGGCTTAGACTGCTGGAGGACAAACTGAACACAATTTTCACTCTGCTGCTGACTTTACTTACTCTGCTCAACCTGTTTTGTATTTGTAATTATTTTTTCTATCCTTAACATGTTTTTTGTCTTTCAGGTACACCTGGACCTGGATCTATACCTGGATTCTATGTTTGTCTGTCTCTCCTTCCTGTCCTCTCAACCAGCCAGTCAAAGCAGATGGCCACTTGTCCTGAGCCTGGTTCTGCTGGAGGTTTCTTCCTGTTAAAAGTGAGTTTTTCTTTCCACTGTTGCCACTGTTCTTGCTCAGGATGGGAGACCGAAGCCAAGATTCAACTTGTCTGCTGGATTCCTTAGAGAACTTTATTAATTGGCTTTTATGTGAATGTTCCTGTAAAGTGCCCTGAGACAACTTTGTTGTGATTTGGCGCTATATAAATAAACTGAATTGAATTGAATACATGGAACATTTCCATTTTAGTTTTCCTCAGTGTGTTCTTTGCTCCTCAGCTCCCAGTACACCTCCTGCCTTGGTGTATTCCTTCATGCCTTTCTGGAGCTTGAAGTATTTGCTGTCATGTAAACACTTTACTTTTTTTGTTTATTTTGCAATTAACCAGTTACTTTTTTATCATCTCTGTGTAAGCCTGCCTTTTGGGTCTGAACCATCCACAAAACGGGATAACTCCAGAGGCGAGACCCTACATCTGTAAAATATATCTCCTCATTTAGTCCACTTTTTCAAAATGCTGCAAGCGTTAAAATAAACACCTTGATAAATAAATGTGTCTTCTCTTCCACTAACAGTACAAATCTTGTGCATTAGCACAAGTGACTTCCTGTGATGAGTGTTTGCATGTAACAAAACAGACTGGGACTTCACAGTGACAGCTGGAACAGGAGCTCCACTAAATGTTTGTTCATCTCCAACCTGCTTCACATCACATTCAACAGAAGTTACTGAGGTTTAATATCCACACTTTAAAAATGTGGAAATGTTTTTTTTTTATCAGGAAGCAGTCACAAAACAGCACCATTCTTCCTTCATCATCATCATCCTCCTCCTAATTCAGATCAAAGGAACATTATTAGTAGGATCCATAAACTCAATAGTGTAATCCAACATTTTTCAGTCAGGTCATCGGGACAGTTTCTTTTTATTGTGCTGAAACGTTTCACCATCGA